GGAGATAGGCCTCCAAACCTTGGAGGGCCTGAGGTGTCCCAAGACAACAAGCTTCTGAAGACCAAATGTTTGTATAGAATGATCAAGAGCTGTCTAGCATGTTTCCTTCTCAGCACAATGTCTGCCCCAGTCTCACAGGAGAAACAACAATGATTTAAACTGAAATGATGATCCACTGCTTTAATGAATAGTTGGGTCAATGAGTAACATTTGCCATGACTGCTGAAGCCTCTCTTAAACAGCTGTACATACACAATCCCAGATAAGCTAGACTGAGCCAAGGAGAGGCTAACTTGGTCAACACTCCAGCACAATGGAATGCACAAAACTCTCAATCACCGTCAGTTTATACAAGTAAAATAAACTTGCTCTTTCTAGTTGAACCCATTGTGTTTAAGAGCTCGTATGAACATGAAAATGGGCTAATGACTAAGTGGGTCATATTTCTCATTCAACCGCGATTTAGGTTGTGAACCCTATTCATAACCACATAGGCTGCAATGATGGCTTGAAAAATAACAAATTGCAGATAACCTTCAAGGGTTATCATGTGGCTATTGCTGGTGTATGGCAGTGAAAAGAAAAGCAAAGAACACAAAGGAACACTGGGGGATACAATATATGAGTAAATCCCTAATTAAACGTCAGACTCCTGAGTCACTGATTATAAAAAAAAAGGAACTTTCCCATGATGTTAACTAAATGAGATCACACACATACACTGACACCGTGTTTGGGAATCCTTGTGGTAATTTAGGCTGCCTATTGGCGACTCCTTAGAATTCCTTTTAGGCAGCGTGCCTTTTTCCTTTCGACCAGAGCCGTTACTGGAATTTGAGCTAAAAGAGACTGCAAGATGTCCAAATAAGTGCAGAGCAGTGAGACAAACATTCAACATTCACAGTCTAAACATGTGATGAATATGAGTGATGTAAAGTATGTGGTGTAGTGAGGCTGTACAGTATGATGACCACAGGAACTCTTTCTATATTTGTGTGTGTTGTCTCTGATGAAACTCATCTCCTGGTTGCCTGGAGCTGAACTCTGTCAAATAATAAAAAGCAACTTGCCAATAACCAAAGGCTATACAAGACCCACTACATTCTGCAGTCAAAAGGGCCCTTCATCCCTGGTACCACCACTTTGTAATATGTTGAACCATTTTTTGTACAGCTTATTTTGACACTAAGGTTCTGTTGGTCTCATTTATCATTATTGCTTTTATATATTTAGTATTTTCTTAGTTATCCCCTTGCAACTGTTGAATATTTGTACAAATTATCTGCG